GTGTGTGTGTGTGTGTGTGTGTGTGTGTGTGTGTGCGAGAGAGAGAGAGAGAGAGAGAGAGAGAGAGAGAGAGAGAGAGAGAGAGAGAGAGCTCAGGGTGCTCAAGCTTCTCAGTGAACTGTTAGATTTAATAGTAGTGACTATAGGATTACACACAACCCAAGGTGCTCAAGTTTCTCAGTGAACTGTTAGATTTGATAGTAGTGACTATAGGATTACACACAACCCGAGGTGTCTGCCTGTCTGCCTCCCCGCATGCGTGCTTGTCTGCCTGCGGCCCTGCGCGCCTGGCCACCTGCCTGCGTGCCTGCCTGCCTGCCAATTCCAGCCTGCCGTTCTGTCTGCCTGCCCGCTTGCCTGTCTGCCTGCCTCTCTGCCTGTCTGCCTGCCTCTTTGCCTGCATGGCTGCCTGCCTGTCTGGGTGCTTGCCTGCATACCTGCCTGTGTGTGTGCATGCTTGCATGCCTGCTTCCTTGCCTGCCTGTGTGACCGCCTGCGCGCCTGCCTGCCTGCCCGTGTGCCTGCCTGCACGCCTGCCTGCCTGCCTACCTGCCTGCCTGCCTGCCTACCTGGTTGCCTGCCTGCCTGCCTGCCGCCCTGCCCTCCAGCCTGTGTGCCTGCCTGCCTACCTGTGTGCCTCCCACCCGGCGTGCCTGCCAGCATGCCTGCTTGCTTGTAGGAGAATTGGGATCGGGATTAGGGGGAAAAGGAGGGGGAGGAGGGGGAGGAGGAGAATCGGAATCGGGGTTAGGGGGAAAAGGAAGCGGAGGAGAGGAAGTAGGAAATTGGGATCGGGATTACTGGGGAAAGGAGGGGGAGTAGGGGAGGAGCAGATCGGGAATGGGGGGAAACGGAGGGGGAGTAGCGGGAGGAAGAGCACAATTCGGAGGAGTGGGAGGCAGGGCAGTAGGAGAATCGGGATGGGGATTAGGGGTAAAAGGATGGTGAGGAGGGGAAGTAGGAGAATCAGGATCGGGATTAGGGGGAAAAGGATGGGGAGGAGGCGGAAGGAGGGGGCGTAGGAGAATCGGGATCGGGATAATGATGGTGATTGCAAAGCAACGACGACGATGATGATGATGATGATGTTGATGATGATGATGATGATGATAAGTTGGAGAAGGAGGAGGAGGAGGAGGAGGAGGAGGGAGAGGAGGAGGAGGGAGAGGAGGAGGAGGAGGAGGAGGATAATTTTAAGACAATGATGATGATTATGACGAAGACGATAAGGTGATAATGAGGAAGAAGAAGATAATTAAGGTTAGGAGGATGATTAATGAAGATAATCACGAAGAGGACATTTAAAAATCATTGGGAAGACGAAGAGAGACCATCTCTCTCTCTCTCTCTCTCTCTCTCTCTCTCTCTCTCTCTCTCTCTCTCTCTCTCTCTCTCTCTCTCTCTCTCTCT